TATTTCATAGGTGAAATTGTATTACTTGGATTCTATCCTGTGAATTTTAGTATAGATTATATGACTGTATATTTTATCATGCTATCTGTTGTTTTATTATATCATCTATTTATACTATGGTTTGTATTTGCATTATATTAAACATGATGATATTGAACAACCTCCCATGTCTTTCCATTATAAAATAGCTGGGGACAACTGATCAACCCGGAGATCATCCTGGTTGATAGCTGATCGACCCGGGGACCCTCCTGGTGACAGCTGGTTGACACGGGGACCTTCCTGGGGACAGTTAGTCGACCCAGGGACTCCCAAAGTCAGCTGGTCTCCCCGGGGAATCCCTCGTTCACCCCCTACCTCCTAACTCAGGCCTCAGAACACTGGGAACCATGGGAGGGTGGAGACAGCAGCAGCCCTCTCCCTCTATGAGGGCCTGAGGACCTCTCAAAGTAAGGCCCCCGAAGCCAGCCCCGTAATGGTGTTCCCACCCGAGCTGAAGCCCGGCTCGAGGTGATACAGCCCGGGCACAGATAGGCCCTTGACTCCCCAGATGCCCCCCCAGGAGCCTTCACCCCAGAGGGCAGGATTTCTGTCTGCATGCGGCCAGAGTGGCCATCCCAGGCCTGCGCCCTCAGCCCGCCCTGTCTCACACACAGAGGGGGACCCCCAAGTCAGCCTTTCCTGGGGACCCTCGCCTTGGTGAGGCTCAGGGAACTCGGAGGACTGAGAAGTCCATACCTAGGGCCCACCTTCGCTTGGAAGGGGAGACCCCGAAGTCTGCCTTTCACGGGGATACCCACCCGGAAGGAGCCCTGCCCAGCCCCTATCCCAGAAGCAGCAGAGGGAACCCTGCCCGCTCCGCCACACTCTGCTCCGGTGTCTGAGAAGCCCTCCTTCAGTCTCTGTGGGGAACTCGGGCTTTGGGATACAGTTAGTCTCTATGAGCAGGGCCGACACCGGGGCCCCTCTCCCACCATAAGGGGGACCCAGAAACCACCGCTCCCGGGGAGCCCTGCCCGAGCAGGGGCCAGGATCTGTGGCCCACCAGCCCTCTCCAAGGCCAAGTCGGCCGAGGCTGTCCCTGGGTCCCTGGCTCCCAGAACCTCCCCAGAGGCTGCTGGGTGCGGCTGTGGGTAATCCCATGTCACCCTGCCCTGCTCCGGCATCTGCCAGGCCTGGGCCCCACTAAACAGGCAGGATCGACACCCAGACTGCTCAGAGTGGGGCTCCCCGCCCAGGGTGAGGACTGGTCCTGTATCCCCAATCTCAAGATGGACCTTGGACTTTGAGTTTCCAAAGTCCAGGGAGCCACCACACACTGCCGCATGGGTGCCAGTGGCCCCGTGGGGTGGCGCCCTGATGAGAGGACTCCCCGTCGACACTGCGGACCCTCCACCCCTGAGGGTCTCAGTGACAGGCCGCCTGCCCCTGCGGTCACTGGAGGAAGGAAGGGGTGCCAGGAGATGATCACCCTGCACCCCGAGAGTGGTGGTGTCCCTCTTTTACACTGTGGCAGACGTGTCCCCCTTGTCCCCAGACTGGTGAGCTCACTCACGGGCCTTGTCATGGAGGACCAGGGAACCGCACCCAGGCCCAGCAGAGGCACACCCGTCCTCGTAGCCACTCCTCATAGCCACTCTGGACCCTACCTGGGAAGGACCACCAGGGTTCACATGAGGGCTCCCAGCCCCCCACACCTCATGACTCTGGCCTTCTGCCTGTGTCGCCTCCCTGAACCTACTAGGCCCTTCAGGGCCTGCCGGCCTCCCTGGATGAGGACCAGGAGGCAAGGCCTGGGTCCTCCCCGTGGGTGCTGTGAAGCTATCACCCCAGGGGTCCCAGAGCAGGGTCATGTGGAGGCTGCGGCCCCAGCAACCCAGTATCGCCCTGGGTCAACCTTCTCCCATGGTGGGCTAGTCCCTCCTGTATGTTCTATGTCCGCCTCTGATGGGGAGCTGTGGGGGCTGGGTGTCCCCAGTCAGGTTCCAGAGTGTTGGGCACAGTGGCGAGTCATCACCCCCAGCAGACATACCACTTTTCCATGCATGACTCATGTGTTTTGGTCCCATGGTACTGTGTTGGCCCCCCGACAGCCATCCGGGGGCCCTCTCGGGTGTTGTGTGTCAATGCTTCCCAGCCGTCCCGCACCTGTCCATGTGGTGTCTCTCTCAGGGGAAGGGAACACAGATGAGTCTCCCCATCCTCACCCCGGTGTGCTACAGGAGGGGACAGCAGGCCTGACTGTCGTGCCACGCATAGGCCCGTGTGCATTCCTAAACACCAGAGGAAAGGAAGGGGTGCTGTCCTCCCCCCTGCCCGTCCCCTGTCAGGGGCAGCCACTTGTGTTCAAGTGTTAGGCCTTCCCATTCAGCCATACGGTCTGTCTCTCACCCCCAGCCAGGGGAGGGCTGTGTCAGGGATGGCTCAGCATGTGAAAAAGTGTGTGCTTTCTGGTGGAAGATTTTGTGGGCCTCTGGCCTGTGTTCCCAACCTTTTCTCCACTTCTTCCTTGGCCTCTTCCCAACGGGGCATGGTCTGACACTGCCCCTGTTGCCCTGGTCTCCGTAGTGCTGCCCAGGCTTTTCTTGTCTTTTTCTTCCTCTTTGTTCACTTTTTTTCTGTTTACTTATACTTTTCCTGTCACGACCACCTCGACCAGCAAGGAAGATGCAACACCGAGCTCTTCTCTCCGCAGTTTATTCAGGACCTTTGAGCAATCTTCTGACCCCGGGGAGAATCCCACACAGCCTTAAGTACCCACTGGGTAGCCAACCCTGATACGCCATGTGGGAACCACCAATAGGTCCAGGTACGCGGAAGCAAGCCAGAGTTTTTGCCTTAGCCAAATAAGGAGTTGTTTACCACAGAGAGCGCTCGCCATCGGGAAGGCAGAGGGCGGAAGCCGGCACCATCTTTAAGGTGCGGCTGCACGCAGCTCTCTACAGTTCCCCCTTTTTTATTTTGCAACAGGCAAGAGTAGAGGTCTGATCTCTGTAGAAGAAATTTGGGACATTGTACTGATCTTCACTCAGGTGTTATCCACCCGATGATTACCAAACCCATCCGATACCCTTTTTCACAGAGGTGGGACTTAGGGCATCAACCCACATGCAATCAGACATGCTCTTCTTGGGGCCCACAACCTCAATGGACCTCAAGTGCAGTGCTCAAGCCTCACATCCTGTGCTCAAAAAGGGTTAATCTTTTAGAGTGGCAAGCCAGGCATGGGGGGACTGTCCTGCTTCAATGGCTGTAAAGGCTTGGATAATCATGGCTGCATTGCGACGCTGAGAACCTCTAATTTGGCAAATGCACCACAGACATACCAAGGAGGCCAACACTAGGAGGCCTGTCAGGGCTCCCAAACCCGCCCACTCCTTGTCTAAATTGGGTCATAGCATTAGGAGCATCCACAGGCACAGGCACCCAACGAGGCATGCGGGTAACTAAAGCATATTCAAACTTTGAGGCATTCCAGCATTGGGTATAAAAGCAAGCTTCATTACTGCACGAGGTAAGTTCTTCCATACTCACAATAAACAAAAATGGGGGATACACGCACACAGGGGTAGGCCTATAAGTAACAGAAGATTTAGGTTTAACACTTTGGCCGACACAACCCGTAGCAGTTGCCACAACACCAGTCACGGTACCAGAACCTGAAGAGGCTGTCATAGTTGTAAATGAAGTGTGAGGGTTATCCCAGGAGCCCCAAGGCTGAGAAGTGCTCCAAAGAGCATCCCCATTTCCATGCGACCCTCCAGCAATCATCACCATAGGTTCCAAGTTTATACAACTACCATTAATGCCACACAAAAGCCAATTATCAAAAGGATTGGAAACATATGCCTGAGATGGATTCTGATCACTATAATTCTGGCCCGCAGAGGTGGCATTGAATTCAGTGCCAATGCCAGGGGAAAAGGTAAAGCTATTATCCAAATTGGCCCAGGTTACGGTATGAGACTGACAACCAGTCCAAGGCTAAAGCTCTCCCCAATTCATTCCCCAACAATAAGGGGCCCACTTAGGTTGACCCGGGGAGAACTCCCTGGCAGCTTAGCTGGCCACCACCCAGAAAGCCATGTGACATTATCGGCCTGACAGGGACCGGGGGAAGTTTCAGGTAAATCGAACCATCCTGCAGTCTGATTATACAATTAAGATGCATGGGGGAGTGTTGGAGCGATTTCGAACAACCGGAAAACAAAGACTCCTGCTCAAAGCAAAGGATCTGTTTTCTCCCAGTGGGGCTTCCGCTGTATCCATGGGAAGGTAGGGAATGTCAAGGCTCTTATTGCTACTAAACAATCGAGGAAACAGTTGTGCATCATGTCGTACGGGCATCGGTCTCGGGAACATGAACAGGATCCCCCATCTTGGTACTGGTCTTCCCGGTTGCACCATTGCAAGGATGAGCAGGAGGATCATCACCCCCCGCTTCTCGTGCCTCTTCACACTGGGCTTTTCTAGTGAGGTGTTCAGGCACCCACACTGGATCTTGTTGGTCCTGAGGAAAAACACAAACAGAGCCTCGTGCCCATGTCAGCATGGGATCGGGCCCGCCCCAGAGCCCTGTCAAGACATCCTTCCATTTTACCATCCCTTTTGCTGGGCCATGAGGTTCATTATGTCTATCTGCTGTGGATTGACCCTGAGCATCCAAATTTAAAAAATTAATAGTAAATAAAGCAAGAGAAAGTCTTTCCTTTGGGGTACGGCCATGGCCAATTCCCCCCTTTTGTTTTTGTAGGCACTCTTTTATCGTGCGGTGAGCACGTTCCACAATGCCTTGGCCTTGGGGATTGTAGGGCAAACCATGTATAAGTTGCACCTCCATTTGATGACAAAAGGAGGCAAACTGTTGTCCTGTGTACACAGGTCCATTGTCAGTCTTAAGTTGATAAGGTTTTCCCCAGGCTGCCCAGGCCTCCAAACAATGGGCAATAACATTGCGTGCCTTTTCTCCAGCCAAGGGCATGGCATGTATAACACCTGAGCAGGTGTCCACAGACACATGTACATATTTTTGGTGTCCAAACTCAGAGATGTGAGTCACATCCATCTGCCAAACTTTTAGCGGGAGCAAACCCCGGGGATTAACCCCAATACTGGGCGGATGCTGATAAATTACACATCGAGGACAGTCTAATATCACCTGTCTCGCATCGGCTCGAGAAATTTGAAATTTTTGTTGTAGTGCTTTTGCATTAACATGAAATGTTTTATGAAAGATTTTGGCTCTGTCTAAGACAGAGCTAATAAATACCCATTCTTGTCGGGTCCATTGATCCACTATATCATTTCCTTTGCTCAGGGGTCCTGGCAGGCCCGTATGAGCCCGAATATGCAAGGGATAAAAGCAGGATTTTCTCTGCCAAATCAACCGTTGTAATTGTTGAAATAATGGACCAACCGGACTGGAACTCTTAATAGGTCCGGCAACCTCTAAAACCTTGAGGGCATTAATAACATAAGCAGAATCAGATATTAAATTAAAAGGAAACGGGCATGCTTCAAAAACTTTTATAACAATTTTTAACTCTACCATCTGAGGAACACCGGGCTGAAACTGGTGTTGTACCGGTCGTTGTGCCTCAACCATGTATACACCACATCCCGTTTTTGAGCCATCAGTAAATACATTAGGGGCACTTACAATGGGTTGGGAAGTCGTTACCTTAGGAAAGATAATTGGGTGTTCCTTAAAAAAACCCAAAAGGGGATGTTTTGGAAAGTGGTTGTCTATTTGTCCAGTAAAGCTACATTGTAAAATAGCCCAATCATCTATAGTAGCACACAAGGTTTGAACTTGATGGCTGGTGTAAGGAACTATAATGGTAGATGGGGCACTTCCAAAATACTGTAAGCATTGTTGAATTCCAGATAGTGCAACACCAGCCACAGCAGTAGGGTAATATTCAATGGACTTGGCCGGTGATATTTTCGGGTGAATCCGAAACAATGGGCCTTCTTGCCACAACAACCCAGTAGGTTGAGAAAAGGTAGGGAGTATACACAGGGTAATACTCTTGTCTTCCTGTATTCTCTGTAAGCAGGCATTTTGTAATCTCTCTTCTACCTTATGTAAAGTCTCTCTTGCCTCTTTGGTTAACTGTCTAGGAGAATCCAAAGTGGGGTCTCCTTGCAACATAGCATAAAGGGGTCTCAACTCATAATTTGGTAGCTTTAAATAGCTTCTAACCCAATTAGTATCTCCTAACAATTTTTGAAAATCATTTAAGGTTTTTAGATTATCTTTTCTCAACTCTAACTTTTGTGGAGTAACACAATTTTTACATATTTTTGCTCCTAAGTAATCAACAACCTGGTCCTGCTGTACCTTTTCAGGGGTTATAAACAGTCCTCTGTGCTTTAACATCTCAATCAAATCCACATATGCCTTTTCCAGCATATGTTTACTCTTTGCTGTTAGTAAAATATCATCCATATAATGAATGCATCTCAATCTGGGATATTTTTGTCTAAGAGGGGCAAGAGTTTCATCCACATAAAGTTGGCACATAGTAGGACTATTGGCCATCCCTTGAGGCAAAACTACCCACTCATATCTTTTATCTGGCTCCTCATGATTGCAGGAGGGAATAGTAAAAGAAAACATCACGCTGTCTTGATCATGTAGGGGAATGGAAAAAAAAAACAATCCTTTATATCAATCCCAATAATGGGCCAAATGGCTGGCAGGGAGGAAAGCAAAGGTAGGCCTCATTGTACGGGGCCCATAATTTGCATCTGGTTATTGATGGCTCGTAAATCGTGTAACAAACGCCATTTTCCAGACTTCTTTTTAATAACAAAAATAGGTGTATTCCATGCGGATACTGATGGTTTAATGTGTCCTTGGGTTAGATGTTCCTGTACTAATGTCCTAGCGGCAGTTAATATTTCAGAGGAAAGTGGCCACTGAGGCACCCACACCGGCTCCTCCGTTTTCCAGGATATGGGGATCCCTCTCCCAGTGGTCCCTAGGAAAAACCCAAGCCCTGCCGGTGGTTTCTCTGGTGCAGTTTAATAGGCTCCTTGTTCCCTTGTAGAAATTTACCTAGTCCAGGGGGACCAAGATGGCGACGGGGCAGTAGGGAAATGCCATAGCTCTCTCCAACCAAAAAGAGAGTTCGAGTTCCAAGGCTTAATCTCCCCAAGAGACCGACAACAACAAAAAGACGAACACTCAGAGAAAAACCAGAGGCAGAAAATAACAAAAAAAGAAAGAGAGGAAAAGAAGAATTTCAGAACAGAGAAAAGCGAAGACCCCTCCCCCAACCTTTACTGGCCGCGTGGCAGTGCGCCAAGCCACCAGCCAGCCAGCCCGGCAGGGGCTGCAGGAGCCCCAGAGTCACAGGGGGCCACTTGCAGATCACCAGGTACCGGTTTGCAGAACAGCGGATCGCCAGGAACAGAGAAACCTACCAGCCGGGAGTCTCCATGAGGATCCCACCCCCAACCCTCACTCTCCACCAGAGCAGAGAGGCTCCATCCCGCCAAAGCCGCTTGGCACCAGCAGTGCGACAAAGGGACCTGTCGGCAGGCCACCAGCCCGATCGCGATCACAACGACCGGGCGGGGGCCACCCGGGTCCCAGAGGCACAGGGGGCTGCCTGCAGATCACCCGCGCAGAAGTCGCCTGAGGCACCAGCGTCAGACCCACCGGATCTCTACAACCCGTGAAGAAGCTGCCTGAGCGTGGACACTTTTGACCTGACAGCTTCGACAGAGGCAGAGACAGAAAAGAATCACACAGAGCTACCACCGCCCAAGCCAGCCCGCAACCACCCGAACTGAACTCGGATTGCAACAACAACGGACGACCTACACCACACAGAAACAACCAGCTCCAGGGTGAGTACCCCACAGGGGACAGTGTATCCCTCAAGGGAGACCAGAGCTGGAGGGAATCCCCAGACCCTGATCTAGACTCCCTACCCCAACACACGGACCACAGGACCCACTAAAAGTGGGAACTGTTCGAGAGCTCCACCAGCCCGTGGAGCACACTCTGCTGGCCAGGCCAGAGCAAGAGTGCCCCTGGAAGGGAGCTTAAATGCCCAAGCCAGGAACAGCGCCCCTGGGTCAAGACTACCAACAGTAGAAGAAATTTGAACTGTGTCCCCCAGGCTGCATAACCTAGGTGGTATACACACCAGCACAGGCCTAACGAGCGCGCTCCAGGCTGCATAACCTAGGTGGCATACAAATCAGCACAGGCCTAATGAGCGTGCTCCAGGCTGGGGCCGGAAACCAGGCCCGGGGATCCAGCGCCTGAACAACACAACCAACTCCTCCCAACTGAAGTAAAAAGCTGAGCATACACCTCAACAGAGGGGAGAAAATCAGGAAACAACACTCCCCGGGAAGCACGCCTGTGACAACAAAA